TAAATAACAGAAGGGAGGGGGTTACCTGTGCACGTCTTGCCATCAGGGTTTAGGATGTATCCTTCCCTGCACTTGCACCTGTATGAGGCAGGGCTACTCACACAGATATGCTGACACTGATGGTCCACCACCTCACACATGTCTGAACCTAATACACGCAAAAACATTCACAAACACTCAAGCATGATTAGACACATATGCATTTTAGAAATAAAGAGAGACATTTAAAATAGACGGGATTATTCACCTCCACACAGTTTGGACTGGAACACAGAGATCAGGGTTTCTATCTGGCTAAAGTTGGCCACCAGATGCACATGCTCCGAGTGCGGCTCACTCCCTATGGCCCTCAGTGTGTTCATATCCACCCTGCCTACTCCAATAGCAAAAATCTGGATGCCAGCCTGTCTTGCCTGAGCTGCAATCTCCTCTACTGTGTCCTGAGGTCTTCCATCAGTCACAATCATAGCAATTCGTGGGATGTGTAGGTTCATTGGTCGGGCTCCATGTTCCTCGGTGAAGGCTGTCTCCATGGTGTACTGGATGGCCAGACCCGTCATGGTCCCTGTGGCGAGGTGCTCCATATTCCTCACTGCCTGCTCTACCTCGCTCTTGGTGGTGTAGGTGCTGAGGGAGAACTCAGGCTGGACCACGCTACCATACTGCAGCAGACCGACCCGTGTTGCATTATGGCCAATCTTGAGGAACTGAAGCAGGTTGATGATGAAGGTCTTCACTTTCTCATAGTCATTGGGACGGATGCTTCTGGAGCTGTCAATCACAAAGATGAAATCCAGCGGGATGGCTTTACATGGATTCTCTAAAATCAAAGACAATGAGGAAGTTTGGGATGAGTTTGGGATGAAATGGCAAAACTGATACAGAAATGCTGTGGTAACCGACTAATCACCTACCAACTGCTTTGATTGGGAAAGTTGTGTTGCTTCTTGCTGTGATGGGTCTGGGGCGGCGTCTGTACGTCTGCGCTGCGTTACAGCACAACAGGCAGAAAAGGCCAAGAGCCAGACACCTCATTGTGATGAAAGACGACAACTGCAGCAGAGTGACGTAAGCACAAAAACAAGAGCTGATCCAGAAGAAACACTTCCACAGCGCAAGTAGGGTACAAACCTGATCACCAGGGAGCAAAGATGGAGAAGAGAGAGAGAGAAGCTGCCAAATAGAGGAACCTACTATTTATTTTATATATGTTTGTCTACATGTAGAAACATGGCAAGAAATCTGCATTATAAATGGACTGGTTCTTATAAAGTGCTTTTCTACTCTACTCGAGCACTTAAAGCACTTTATATTACACACGTCATCCACGCATACATTCATACAAGCACTTTTTCTGTGTCTAAGTCCTCTCTATCTGACATTCTCATTAACACTGAATGAGATGCAGGGATCCATATCTTTCCCGAGGATACTTTGGCATGCAGTCTGGGGCAGCAGGGATCAAACCACCAACCTTCCAGTTAGTAGATGACTCGCTCTGCCACCTGAGCTACAGCCACAGCGTTGTGTTATAATAAACACAAAATCTGACACATGACTCGCACACATGACGGTTGGTTGTGATTAGGTGAAGCACCTAGTATCTGGGAATGATTTGTACTGGGACCAGCTGCACACGAAAGGTGAGGCTGATTGCAACTGATACATTGCACGTTGAGTAATTTCAGTTTAATGCAGTTTAAATCAAATAAGTTTTGGCATAAACTTACGATATGGCAGAATGAAAATGTACTTGTTACATTTTGTGACATTTGCAATACATTTGTGGAAAGAGTGTCAACAAGAGAATAAAAAACAATTCCACCAATATTCTGTATAGTGTTTTGCACTTTATATTCTTCATATGCTTGTTATCTAATTTCCTTGAAATATGGAGATTGTTCTCAGATATTCAGCACTTTAAAATAGCATCATCTGTTCTATAAACTCTGTTTAAAGACGTGGGCTGTACAGTATACCAGTGTTGTGCTTCCTAAAGCATTCAAAGAAAGTCAGTGAGCTTCTGTGAATGAGAATGCTTTGCTGCATAGGAGGTTTACAGTGATTTAAGAGAGGCTGAAAAACACCAGACTGCTTCCCTATCCCCTCCCCAAGAGACCCACTTGTTACCCGTCATATTCAGACTCCAGCCTTTACTACTGTCTTAGAAATATCTGTGATCAGTGCAGAAATTACAAATATATTCAAATTTGAAAAAGGAGAAAAGAACAATACAGGAACAATCTTACGTGAAGGCAACATAAAACTTTTGTTTTGGATTCCCAAATGAGAACTTCAGCAGCTTCCGTGTGTTCAGTTAATAAAAAATCAACACTTCTACACAGAGCCAGGTTTATATGGTTGACCTGAGACCTGCAGAGGTCACACATGCAAACCCTCATGGAACACTTGCCCTCTGAACTCACATGTGTTTTACGTCTCTCTGCCGCCACCCTGATAGTGTTTTCATCTTCAGATGGCAATCCCAGCAGCAAAGGTAAAATCTTGTTATGTGCTGTAGAATTTCATGACACTCCACAGCGTCCTAAAATGTTTTTTTTAACTGGCATTTCCTCTAAACACATGAATCAAAGAAATGAAGAAAGTTTAGTAATTACAGCATTTTGGTTATTCCACAAAAGAGCAGCTCCTTTCATATTTCCCCCTGTGAGTGGAAGCCAAAGTTGTGTGTTTACTATGAAGCACAAAAACATCATGTACTGAACAGCATTTATGACACTGTGTCTGTTTTGCACATCCAAGTTCTCTGATGAGTTTTCATGATGCAGGTGAAAGGAGCACAGGATGTGTCCTAACGCAGATAAGAAGTCAACACCACACAGGTGACTGGTGGTGATTACTCTTTCTACCCTGCTATTAAAACGCTAAAGAAAAAGGATCGGTTCTTTTAGAAAAGGGAAAACCCACAGTATAGCATTTTCAAGATAACAATTTGAAATCTACTCACCATTATATAAAAAATTATTTTGGAATTTTTAATTCAGCGAATTAAAATCTCTGAAAATCCAAAAACTGAGCCAACAGTTGAGCTCCAGCAGGAAAAGTCTGTCAATGCCTTAGCTCCGCGTTGCAAATGTACATATATCCCAGTCCTGTCTCTATCTCTGGAGGCTATTGCATTGCCTAGTCCCTTACTCCATCCACTATTTCTCTGTATACTCCCACTCTGACTCTGACTTTGGAGACGCCTCTTGTTCTGATCAGTCTGCTGGTAAAACAATAACTATGAGTGTTTTATTCCCATTCAGATCATCTTACTCATATTTATTCCAGATAAGTGGAACTAAACTCCCAATTTTACATATTGAAAACACTTTAAACATTTATTATTTGGAGGAAAGTAGAGACAACGTAAATGTTTCATGTTGTTCTTACATTAAAGTTTTAGAGACGTGTACTTGGTCAGCCTGGCTCCTGTTTTCAAACTAAGGAACATGAGTAGCTCATCAAATGATAGATAATAATGTAATGGAGTCAGACTGTCAGAGGCCTGATAGATTTAAAGTCTAGTGTAGTCTAATGGGTCATCACTGCTCTGAAAGAGGCGGATTGTACTTTTACAAATTATGCTCAGAAGAATTGTACAAAGCCACAGCAGCAGTTTATGGAAAGACCTGGTAAGTAAAAGTCATCACAATTCCACTCTGGGGGTCCCTGCCTCCCACACAGTAGACACATTTATATACAGACATGTCTGTGAAGGTTCTCAGTCATCCAGCTCATCGTAGTCTAACGGGCTTGGAAAGAAAAGCGTCTGGACTTCTTTAAGTTTCCTTGAAGACGTTTCACCTCTCATCCAAGAAGCTTCTTCAGTTCTAAGATCAAATGGTGGAGAGTCCCAGGTTTTAAGTCCTATGGGTGTGTCCCTCTTAAGAGGGTCATGGACCCCCTATTGATCCTCTACCTAATCACACTAGCCAAGGTGGGAAAACGGGTGTGGGTCACAACCAGCCAAGGTTTCAGGTGAACCCATTGTGAAACCTATCCCCACCCTATCATGTGATATATTGAGGTCCATTTGACCTCAATAAATCACATGACCCTCTTGGGGACACTCCCATAGGGCTTATAATCTGGGACTCTCCACTAGTTGCTCTTAGAACTGAAGAAGCTTCTCAGATGAGAGGTGAAACGTCTTCAAGGAAACTTAAAGAACTCCAGACGCTTTTCTTTCCAAGCTCCTTAGACTATACACACAGTATGCACAGTATCCTGCGGGACCAACATCACCCTGCGCGCCACCTTTTCCATCTGCTGCCTTCAGGGAGAAGGTACAGGTCTATACAGGCCAGAACATCCAGACTGGCCAACAGCCTGTATCCACAGGCTGTGAGGCTCCTGAACTCTCTGCCCCCTCTCACGGACAATAACCATATCCAACTTCTTAATAGCAATGAACTGGTCTGCATTGGTGCATCATATCTTTATTCTCTTCCCCCTCCTGCCCCCCCCCCCCTCTTTCTTAAATAGATAACTATCATATCTGATATCATATCTCACAGTACAATAATATTGAATGGGTTGCATTGTTGTATTTTGTCATGTTTCTCAGGTCTTTGTCTGAATTTCTACGAACATTATTGCTAAGGATTGTCTTATTGCATTGGAGTCACACTGGGTTAAATATGTACACTTGGGTTTTAAGGGGTATTTATTATTTTCTTCTTTTTTTTGGGTTGTATGGAAGCCCCAAACGCAATTTCATTGTTCTTGACAATGACAATAAATAAATAAATACTAAATACTAAAATACTATACAGTCACTGCTCACTTCAGTGACCAAATATATTTTTCGACATCACATCTTCCATTTAAGCTAGAGTTTAACTCTTAATAGCAGAAAAAAAAACCCTAACCAGATTAATTTAAATAATTCCTGCAAACACACACACACACACACACACTGAGCTCCATTTGACCCTTGAAACATGTCTGCTCAAGTTCATATACATGTTTGACAAAATAAAACACACAACATCTATCAGTGAAATTGGATTTTAATAGATAAATATATGTCACATCTTTGTTTTCCATACAGAAGGTTTGACATTTGAGTCCTTGCAGGACATTTTGTGTCCAGGGACGAGTGGTTTGCCAGTAACTCCATCTGGTGGAACAGACTTGTGTAATGTTTACACAGACAAGAAAGCTCCCATTAGGCTTAACTGAAAAAACACAACCACAGTCCATATTTATTGGGCTCCGAGTCCTCTGTCCAGCAACCAACTTATAGTGACTTCAAAGAGCAAGCTGATTCCAGATCAGTGCTTCTAGATAAACAGCAATCCAAGACATTTGTCATCAATCAGTAGAAAGACACAATTACATTAGAAAGTTATGAATATCAGTCAACGCAAATCAACACTCCTGATTTCTAGAACACGAGACCGTGATTATGTCTGTGGTAGAATACGCTGATATGTTTGATATACACTAGGTTGCTCCTTGATCATGTCAGAACACAGGCAGGTGCATTTCTTTGGGAAACTTCCCGTCAAGGTGACACTTCACACGTGGCTCCATGAAGTGCACCCCATGAGAGAGAAAGCTATGAATGAAGGCAATCCAACCCTGATCACGAGCTCAGACGAGACAAACAGGAAACACGCAACGGCTCCTCACTCGTTAATGTGAGCCATACGTTGGGTTTTTTGCATTTCTGCACAAGTTAAATATGTTTGTGAAAAGGTAGGACCCACAGAATACGATTACAGACACAGAGAGCATAAATAGAATTAATAAAAATATATATCATCTATCGAACTTTCTAGTGCTTTTGTCTTGTTTCGCTTCAAATGCATAAAAGTGCACATCGTTTCTGGATGAATACTAAGACACAGAGATACACAGAGAGCTACAGGAGAGAAATACATAAGAATAAGTAAATAACAGGAAGGGATGAGAGGTCACGGTGGTGTGCGTCTGTATATCTGTCCAAGGTGTTTTTGTACATATGCGTGTGAATGCATTAAGAGAACGGTAATGTGTGTGTAGCTACAATATATCCAGAAATATACTGTACAGTGGAGAGGCAGTGTGGTGCATCAATTCTGCTGTGCTTTTATCAACAGCAGTCGGCAGGATCCCGGGAATGTTTTCATGCTGTAACAGTGGTGTAAGGTGGAGGAGCCTGCTTGGGAGGGACACTGACACTGTCATCATAAGGAGGTAACAGCACCTGGAAGACAAAGAAATGAGGACATGACTCAGAATAAACACCATGAAAATCAGTCTGATCAATATGAACATGTTTTTGGTAAAGTTGCATAATATTACATCACTTTTGATGTAACTTGAAACAGAAAAAAATGAAATATTAAAAATTTATTTTGGATTAAGTGAAATATTTGTAAGCCCAGAGAGAACAGCTTGCACAGAAATCAGTCTGATTCCCCAATAAAATAGGCTAAACTGCAGGGCTGCAGTTAAATATGATTATATAACATGTAAAATGCAAGTATGGCAAGATGACCAGTCTTATTTGCACTGCACATTACATAAGCAGTTGGAGCGGTTGATTGGAAGCCTTTTTAGACAAAATATTAAAATAAATGTCATACATAAGAAAAAAAGGCATGCAAGCAGCAGGCTGTACTTCAGCACAGTGCGGCTTTGACCTATATACTACCATGCTTACAACAGCAGTGCTAACATGTAGTAGCCATCAAGCTTCCCATGCTCATTTTTGAATTTATTTGCAGGACTTTTCCCTGTTATTTTATGTAAAAAAAAAAGTTTTTTAAATCTACTACTGAAATACTATTACTATTATATCAGGAAGGAAATGTAGTACATGAAGCAAGTGTCCTAAAATTGTGCCACGTGAAAATCAAAAGCATCTGTCAGCAGCCAGATTTAGTTTAGAGCTGTATACAGATAACTAGAGAGGACAGATCTACTTGTTCATCTTTTATTATTCATCCCCTACACCAAAAGTAAAAGTAGGATAAGTGGGGAGTTCCAAAATAAATTTGGCTAATGGTTGTCTATATGCATCACATAAGGCACAGTCTTAGCTGGACTGATGTCTCCACTCAATGCTGAGTCCCGTTATGTGATATGAAAAAGCCAGAATTGAGGTCCCACCATGAAGGAACTTAAAAAAAAAAACTGATGAATTTTAAGGCTGTATAATGTTTTCCTGGATCTGAAAGATTTCTTTCAGCATTCCAGCACTCATTCTCACAACAGAAATGTGGGCTTCCTCAACAACGCTATGTGTTTGACCGGCATGTGGTATTAAGTATTTAACAATGAGTCAATGAGGGTACAGTCTTGCCTTTGTGACAATAAACTTTAATGATGTTGAAATAAATATGTGGGATATTAAGTAATCAATAACTTCCTTTAGGCCTGTACTTGCATATATTAGATCATTTTAAAGAGTTTCAGCACATACTGAAATCCTTTTAAAGTGCATACTGTAGCATGTGGTATGCATATCATGAACTTTAAGGTTACTACACAACTTCAATCATCTGTCTGTGCCCTGCTGTGACACATGTGACATCATCTGTTGTCCAGAAAAAGAACAGTGCATTGCATCTGGTCACATCTGGTGCATTAGATTATAAATAAAAAAAGAATTGACCGAGTGCAGGAGAGCCAGCACAAGAGTCGGCGAAAACAAAGTAATTCAATGGAAACAAAACACACCATATATAATTTAAGGGAAAGGAGAAAGAAGGTACAGGTGGATTCAACTGAGACAATTGTGAGCTGCAGAAAGGGAGGGTGCTAAAATAAAGAGAAAGGAATATAAGGATGCTAAGCCCAAAATAATAAAATAGGAAGCAAACTGACAGAGAGGGAAACACAGGAGTCAGGATTACAACCGGAAGCAAGCAGCACAGGAATCACTATGGCAATATTGGGGTATAATAAATCTTCTGCTGCATTGTGTGTGTATTGGAAAGCATCTATGGATACACAGTGGATCAAATCTAACAGTTGCTATTCTATTCTAGCTAATAAATCCCCAGTCTGTGTGCCATGCCTGAACGACACCGTGATCTGTGGGGAGTGGGGCCAAGCAAGAGTCAACACCCACACCAACTCCATGAAGAGAAATTAAGCATGCTTTCTTCTATGATGCATTTATTTATTGTTCCAATAAAGCACCTGTGTGTAGGTGTCAATTACTTTTCTTTATGCCCAAGAATACAGTTCACATGCAATGCATTAGTGGACCATCTAGACCTAACCATCATATAATTGATGTAACACCATGCAAGCTGCTAACCAAAAGCCACAAACCCGGCTGTGGTATGTGGGGGAGCTTCCATTAAATATGGCTAGCTCTAATTGAAAAAGCATCCCTGCAGACGTGAGGCTGATGTTAGGAAATAAATGGCTGCTGATATTCTGGCACTCCTCACTGATGATGTCAGTCAGCTGGAAAGTTGCCTCCTGGGTCTCTCTTTACAGCCCACGTGTTTTACACATCAGGAGCGAGTGGAACTACAGCGCGTAGACCATCAGGTGCTGTTTTAAATTGTGTGCAGTGTTACGCCCTGAGGGGTCTTAAGTTGCAGACTGGGAGCACAGGTTTTGTCAAAATACTTGTGAAACCCAATATATTGCAAGGTCAAATATCAGTCCTGATGGGGCCAGTTACTGGCAGCTCCTTATGTGTTCAGACCGAAAACCACGTTTTGCAATAGTCAAAACAGTCATTAGTGTTTCTATAGCTCCATTAGTCTTCTCCCCTCTGTCAGAGTCAAGCAGTTAGCTGTGTGGGCAGTGGGGTAACAGTGAACTGAGAGCCAGGTCCGGTCAATAAGACACCAACATGAGGCCCTAAAAAGAGCTTACTGTACCCATCTAATGACTTCACCAGCATGGATCCTCGTCTCTCTTTCCAAGTCTGTCCATTCATCCATGCTACTGTAGCTTCTGTAAAACTACGCGCTACTACAGCACAGCTTTAAATGTTCTTTCTCCCATCAACATAGTGACTTTATGGCTGCCAGACTGGCCTGAGCAGAGGAAACCTACGCAGACGATCCAAACGTGACCTGCAGTCTGGATTGCACAGAAGCTGCTTTTCTACTTCTTGGAAAATTTAGAAAAACAGCAAAGATCAGAAACTGTTTAATGTTAGTTCCCTAAATGATGATTTAGACATGAAAGAGGGTTTAATGGACTTTGAGTATAATATATTATACTTATATTTGTATAAGTTTATTCTTATTTGTCATACATTAATAACTGCTGACTTGTAAATTACAAGTATTTGGACAGCTGTACACTGCACGTGAGGAATGAGTGCATTATTAGTGTTGAAGCGAGAACCCTCACATGTCTGGCGAGCTCTGCACACAGGCGTTTGTAGCAGCTCACTGGAAACATTTGCACAGGTGGTCTGACAGCAAAATAAAGTGCTGCTAAAAAAATACTTTTTTCTTCTGCTAGTCTGATTTATTTCATTCTTCTGTGCTGTAGAAGTTCAGTGTTGGCTAAAACCCATTGAGAAAAACACATAATGTTGTGTTTTATTACCTTAATTAGCACACACAATCATTTACTCTGGCTCAGTCCCACAGAAAGTGTGCTGCTGTTGCTGTGAAAATGTTTGGAGTGCCAAATATATATTAATTTCCTGTTGAAAATAGTTCCAAACAAATGCCAAACAGACCACTGTATTTGTCGCAAACTGTTACAAGTACAACTGGAAAAAGTGGGCTTGATGCTAAATGCTACCAATATGCATGGAAAAGTCCTGAACGGACATGATATCATGACATCACCAGTCTTATCATTTAAACAAAGAAGTCAGCGTTGTTCTCAGTACTTACGGTGGTGTCATTGGTCGTGATGTACAGCAGGATTTCAGAACTGCCCCGTCCGCTCACATATCTGTAGCAGTTCCACACGCATGCTATCAGGTATGCCTGAGAATGGGAAGAAAGAAAACATAAACACATGTTAGACACATGGACTACGTAACACAGTTATGGTAAATAACAAATCATAGACAAATTATTATCAGCCCCGTTGGTAGCACGGCTCAGTGGATGCTTGTATTAAAGCTTTAAGTCAAGCAGCTTCTCCTCGTTACTATGCAAATGAATTTTCCAAGGTGTTCCAGATATAACTGGGTCATCTTGCCCCCAGAGAAGCTGCGGTGTAAAAGTAAGTTTTCTGCACACCTACTGACACAGATGGCATCACTGTCACCAGAATGTAAGGCTGGAGTAAAATTGTTGTTATTCTAAATAAACTCTCGCTCTTCTTTAGATTCAGATTGTGTTTGCAGAATCTGTCTGACGATTAGACGTCTCTTTATAGTAGCAAGTTCCTGTTGTTCTCTGTCATCCAGAAATCATCTGGCTCTCAGCAGGCGGCTTGCTACTGAAATGCCTCGGCCAAACACAACACCATCTGCTACATCCATCCGCTAGCAGGAACCAAAGCCAGGCTGAGCTCTCAAACATTCTTACCATAAGAACCAATTAAGTATCAGCCCTAATGCTCTGACAGCTCTGTTATTCAAACAACCTCCACAGGAAGGTGCAGCAATCGCTTAATTTACTTCATGGTCCACTGCAAAACCATGCTGACAGTGTGATAATGATGCTGATTGTGCAAATCCAGTTATTTGAATCAGAAATTATTCAGACAGTGGTGCTGATTAAAAAGATGGATTTGGGGTAATTACATGGGGTTTGCAATCTAAAAAGGCCCTGATCGACTATAGTATGAAACATATGAGCTTCTATTAACCGTTACAGTTTATTTTATCTCAGTTTATCTCAGGGTTAACCTTTTGTTGTTAAAGACTACAAATGTTTTGGTTTTAAGCAGAATCACAGCAACTATCTGACAGGATTACTGGCTTTAGATACATAATACAAACAAGTTATTTTTTAGGATTTTTCTTATGTCTTCATGGCTTTTTAAAGTACTTTGCAACTTTTTTTAAGAGGCTAAATATTGCACTGACGCTAAAGCGCCCTTTACCTTACACAGGTTTATGTCAGAGCACAAACGTCAACTGCATCTGGACCACAAATTAAACTATCTTTAACCTGCTCTCAAGTACAAAGCCTGTGCGATGTCCAACTGCACCCATGTAAGAATAAGGCTGGTGAATGTGCAGTGAACTCACAGTGAGCATATGAGCATCTTGTGTGACACCTCGTGCAAGCTCTACCCAGGCAGCACGCTCACCTAAGGTGAGCTAGCTTGCCCCTCCTATGTGCTTAAAGTGAGAAATGTCAGCTTTGGACAATGGCCTGACCTGATTCCGTCCGAAGTTCATTAACAGCTCAACTCCACAGGATTTAACGGGTGCGCCCACACTTTGCAAGTGGCCAAGTGCCTGCTTGTTTTGTGCACATTTCCAACTGCCACACTGCCCAAGTGACCATTAAGAGGTTTATTCTAGAGCTCCCAGGGACACACTTGGATAAATAAGGAGTTTGCTACTGCAAACACACTTAGTGTGCATGGCACAGGCCAACTTAGATGATGCAAGGAAGTAATTGGTTGCCTTGGAACCATAAATGTTTGCTTAATTTTACTAAACAGTGTTCAGTAATTGAGTATCAGAACACACTGACCCTCAAAGAGCCACTTTAATAGTGTGGCTGAAAAAAATTAATAAAAAAAGAGGAAGTAACTCGTCCCTAGGGCTGGTCGATTATATCGGTATACAGTTTTACATGATAAAAAAAATATTGCAGCGTCAATGAGATTGCAAAGCAAAGAGTTTACGTTTAGGCACAACAACACGACAAGCCCAGAACCTTCTGGAGCGAGAGCCGTATGTCAGCCAATGATGATTTAGTAAAAAGTGAGCTACTTCAACAACCTTCATCAAACTCTGCAAAACATGCAAGAAAACTCTTCCTGCTCCTGGTTGAAAAAACAAACTTGTTTCACCACTACAACGGCCCAATTTCTTGATTTATCGGCTATGGCAGTAATCAGGCCTGGGTGCAGCTAGTGAAAGTGAACTCCTTTCCAAAAAACTGATTTAACAGGGGGAGAATTACTTTTTCACGCAGCACCGGGTCGGGTTGGATAGGTCTTTCCCCTTAATAAATGAAATCATGAATGAAAAACTGCATTTTGTGTTTACTCAGGTTATCTTCATCTAACATTCAAATTTGCTTGAATGTGACAAATATGCAAAAAACTAAGAAATCAGTAAGGGGACAAATATTTTTTCACAGCACTGTATATGAGTTATGCTGTGTCACCACTGTAGCTGCTGGCACCTCGTGGGAATAATTCATACTTTACATTGCATAAATAACCAAAGCTCATTGGAAAAGAAACATTAAACATGCCTCCTTGTGTTTTTTTCACTGCAGTCACCACATTGTTCAGCCTTTCTTCTGTGTTGTCATAAATACCATCATCACAAATTTCCTAGAAACACTGTAATATAATTTTGAGACTACACATATGTACACTCCTACACCCGACTCTGACTTTAAATCTTTCAGAAGGAAAGCTGAGAGTAAACCTTATATTACAAGTATAGTACTACACTTCTTCCTTCTCACTTTGACATATAAATAATAAAAGAAATGGTGTCTGAATTCAGTGTAGCTGCTTTGGGGTTCTGGTATTGTGCTCTCCGCTTTTCCTGCTGTGATAAATCAAATATGTCTGCTGTGAAAAATACAGTCCCATTTCCAACAACTGTTGGGATCATGTATAAAATGAACCAGCAACATTTTTCTAAACATTTGAGACAGGGGCAGGACTGCATGAGCAAATTCAAAATAATATACTTAAAAGAGAATCTGCCTGATTACAGTTTTTTGCCATCAGTGCCTGAGTCCTAACGGGATCCCATTTTTGGGCCCGATCTCAGTCAGGCTGGACTGAGACTGTGGTCTGATGAACCAGAAGCTAAAATTCTTTTTGGAGCTTTCAAAATGTCTAAATCCTACGTCAGAATGAAGAGAACAGCTAGCTTATTATAATAAAGTTCAAAAGCTAGCATATGCAATCGAATGGAGGTCCATTGGTGCACATATTATGTGAGGGCATCATTAATACTGGATGACAAACAAAGTTTGGAACAATAAGAGTCCAGAGTTAGGGGCCATATTGGCCTACTGAGAGTCCAGACACATTACTCACTGAAAACATTTGACACAAAATACAACAAAGGAGGCTTCAAACTGTTGAGCATCTCAAATCCCACAACAAGGAGTGGGAAGCACTTACAGAGTGGTGTAAAACAAAAAGGTGTCCAGACACTAAAAACGAGCACAGTCAAAACAATACAAAATGTCTAAAGTGTCAACATTTGACATGTTGTTTTGAAGGTTTGCAAATCATTGCATTCTGAGTTTTTACACAGCTTCTCGGCTTTTTTGGAGCGAGGTTTTATCCACAGCACGCTTTCAAGATTCATTCCTGGGCTCTACTTTACCTAGAACCAGTGAAAGCTAATCAATTTCCACCTCACTTCAGTCACATCACAGAGCCACATGTGAACAGAGGGTTACGTAAAAAGGCAACAGCCTGTGTAACAAGGTTGCATAATATTGTCAGCAGACCAGGAAACATTTCTAGGTGCTGCTAAGCATATGAGACAAATATGTAAACTGGGCGCAGAAAACTTTACCTTAAAGCCGAGAATACAGCCGATGAAGAGCAGCACGATGACGACCAAGCACACGTTACTGAGAGCAGCAACTTCCTCTTTGTAGGGAAAGTTCTCAGGCTGAGGAGGAATCAGAAAGACAGCAGTGATGTTTTCATTTCATGTCAAATTATAAATGATGAGTAAAATAAATATATACATATATCAGATGTTTCTCACCAGTTGCTGCAGGTAATCCTGAATGGTGTTTGGGTAAACTACGATGCTAACAGCCACCAAGGTGTTAAGCGCAAAGTCAAATATTTGGTAGCAGAAAAAAGGGATGATCCAGGCGGGACGTAACTGAAATAAAGACCTTAACGTTAGATATTTGGGACAGAATGGCTTATTTATCAAAGAGCAGAGAATCAACAGGGAAACAGCAACACGTGAAATACAATTACGTGAGTAAAATAAATGTTTTTTTTACCTTGTAGGCACCATATGTTGCCATCCCACAGATAAGTATCATCAGCAGAGAGATCGCTGAGGCGATGCACATGTCTGAAGCAACAGGAGAAAAGGTAGAAATTCAAAAAAGCTGTACAGATCTTTGCTTTCTATTTAATTCAGGCTGTAGTCACATTGGCTGTGGCGCAATCAATCCTGAATTACATTTATGAAAATGTTTAGAACATGGTGTCATCAAGAGACCACAAATGGAGAGCAGAAGAAAACAATGGCATGATGCATCTGTCAACTAGAAAAGGATTTAACCTCTGCTCTGGGATACACATCGTGTCAGCCTGACCTGAAATCAACTCAACAGAACAGAACTAATCATTCTGTTACATAAGCGCAGGGCCGAGCAACCTTAAAATAAAAGTGGCACTACAGGGAAATAATAGTCACTTCAATGAAACGCCACTTTTTTTTCCTGCCTGACCCATTATTTTCCATATTCTTTTAATAATGACCTGACAATCAGTGTTTCACAGCTCTGAGTCACAGGATGGATCAGATTTGTGGTTTAAAAAAAGAAAAAAGACAACTCAGAAGTGTGACACTTTATTCCCAGAATCTAATTCAGGTAAATGGCAAAATACCAGCATAAAAAGCTTTTTGATTTTATGCCATCTGGGGCAGCAGAAACAATTTTGCCGCCTGGTGATGTTCACCCCTTTTTGTTTTATTTTACCAGCTAATGAGTAAAATATCTGGCAACAGCTGAATTCTCCATTATATTCACAGGCTTGTTGCTAACCTTCCCTTCTTGCTATTTGGTGGTGAATGCTTAAGCTATTATACATTTTACACATAATTTCAGAATATAATAATATTTTGTTGTATAATGACTGGAAGCCAGGAAACTGTGCCCCAAATCGATATAGCAACAAGTATAAAGCTCATCCATTAGCATGTTATATCTTGTCTTTAAGTGCCACCACAAAACATAAAAATGTGGCTAAACGAAGGTTAGCTAGCAGAAAGACTAGCTTGTCTTTCTTCCCCCAACATTTATAAATATACCCAAACATTGATTCTGTTTGGTAGATTATAGCTAACCAGAAAATTTGAGCTTAAAATCTATCACAAAAGCTCAATATTTATATCATATACCTCGTGTTTAATTTGGCCTAAAAAACATTAAAATGTGACAAGCTAGTTGTTAGCTTCAGTGTGTTTATAATAAGCTAATGAGCTACGGTAATTCCCCTTCAACTCCAGTTACACGCTGAAAAAAAACAAATGGAACCAGTAGCTTTCTTCTCATCTAGAGTCAAAGCCCTAAGGATAATGATGTTGTTTTTCTCAGGGGAGAATTATTTTACTAAGAAAAGATTAAAACAAAAGATGTTTACTGTTATTGCACAAAAGCAAGCGTCAGTGCATGTTACTGAGTGAACTGATACTTATAAACCTCAGAAATCTGAACATTCTATGCATGTGATTGTAAAACTGCAGTGGCACCGGCTGGTCCAGCATGTACTAATGGGTCACAGGACAACGCTCATCCTCTGGAACTGGGACAATAGTCGTTCCCAATCAGAGACTACCAGCACCATGTGCTGTGAGTCACCCCTGGTCAGACTGTTCCAGCACGCACCTGGTGTGTTAAGAAGGCTTTTCAAATGCTCTGCACAGATGGACATTGGGTTTTTGGGAGGCTGTGGCTTTGGGTGTTTTTACTTATACAGAAATGAAGACTGTCACTTTAGACAATGTCTGAGGTCCTTATAATAACACAGTAAATTATTCCATTAGTTACATGACGGATCTACCTACACGCAAGAGTTTAAGAAAAACACCACAGAGCCCACTGGGTTTTCTAGCAAATCTCCATCAAGATTTAACCCTCGTATACAAAAAGATACATGGATGTAAAAACTCCTAACAATAATCTACTTCATAACTCTTAGAGACAACTTATGATACATTTACTGCAAAACACTACTTACTGGCATCATCCATGACATCCAGGTCATTAGCCAACTCTGCACTGGTCAAGTGGTACTGCTCAGGATCGTTGAGGGCAGTGAGCAGGATGAGTAACACCACAGCATTGATGAGCTTAGGGACAGAGAACATATGGACAGATGAAGGCAACAGTATGCACAGATGGCGCACCAGAAATGTAAACCTCTTCACCTGACATTCCACACATAATTAATAATCTGCAGAGCAGTGTCTGTTAGTGCTCTTTACATTACTTAACTTTTTATCATCACAGACTGCAGCCAGTAACCATCCTTAAATTCTTAAGTCTTGGCGTGGAGACAGTGCAGCTATGTTAAATGAAGTACCTACAGTAGAAGTCTTTGTTTTGCTCTGGCCAGCACCTCTCATTATTCAGGTGACTCATACATCCCCATTGATCAGGTGAGTGTAATGGAAAATTCTCCACAGTCAATTGGCAGCCTGACACAAAACCCTACCTGAAGAGGCCCACTGCTTATTTATTCATAGGGAGCAGAGAGAAGCTTTTTCCACATGTGGTGTTTGGTTTAGTCAGTCTGATATACTCAACTACACCAGCATTAATTCACAGACATGCTCCACAAGAGCTTAGTGCCACAACACAGAAAAGACAGAATTGTTTCATTAATCAATTTTAAAATACTTGATTAAAGTGTCTATACTATAAGTAATTTCTTAAATTAAGTATTATCAATAATCCTGTATTTACAAATAAAAGTTTGGATAAAGTAATTTAAAACAATGTCATCTTTATATTTTGATTCCAGCTATATAAATATCAAAAAGGCAAGTACAGATCAAGTCTGACGTGAAATGATTTTAAATGACAGATTATATACTCTTAAATCCTGTGCTCATATCATGTTGTCTCTGGCTCTGCTGTTTCTTGAAGTCTACACGCATGCAGTGAGTGACAGAGTTAGGCGATGCTCACCATGTACCAGACCCCCAGGATGATGGTTCCCGTGCGGACATGGCAACACAGGCAGCAGCGCGTGGAGTACCAGCGGTCCCACGGAGAGGCCGTCATCATCATCTTTTGTGTGTCTGCAGGCATTTACAAACGGTGTCGGTGTATGTGAAGGAAGAGTCCCCGCTGTCCTATCGACGTCTTCACCGAGCAAGAGTTGACGAACAGGCTCTGACTGCCCCTGACCCGTCCGGTACTTATCACGGTGAGCAGCTTAGCGGACCAGAACGCGACAAGCCCGCGTCACAGTTAAAATCACGACTTCCGTTTTTTCAAAATTAAACACCAGCGGTCTCACTGTGCTCTTTAAGGTGAATATTTATTGCTTTATTACAGCAATATTGCAAATACTGATGTATTTAGCAAATACATCACCATTTATTTTCCTTAATCTACGGATTCAGTAATTTCAATTCATTGTTCTTCACTGCGTTAAGCCAGTGTGAGACATTTACATTATTTTAAAGGAAGACAAACTCTGTCCCGCCCAATATGTGTGTCACATATTTTAACATGGATGTGATTTGATGTACATTTTGTAATGATAGCGATGACATACGGAGCAAATAGTTCCAGATTAGTAAAATAAGATTAGTTTGATGAGTAATCAAATCAAGCGGACCAAATTCAATTGGTCAAAGTCATCAAATGGCAGGCTAATGTGTGCTTGTGAAATCAGTCGTATAAAACTTTTTCCTCCTCTTTTCTGCACACTACCCGAATGACAACTTGAGCATGCTACTATTTTGAAAAGAAAAGGATCCCGATGCTTCCGGTTATAGTCTGATCAGCTTTGCCGATCCGCTGCAGAAGGATGCATTTACTCGTCCTGAGGATGATAAACACTGGAGCGTGTGACAGATTAGATCGGATCAAATCCGATGATGTAACCCGTCATTTCCAGAAAGTTATACAGCCGGGGATTAAAATAAGTACTTTAATCTGGAAGTTACTGGTCGCGTCTTTAAAAAGCACCACTGTCTTATGCAAGGGCGATCGTGGCTCAAGAGTTGGCAGTTCGTCTTGTAATCGGAAGGTTGCCGGTTCGAGCCCCGGCTCGGACAGTCTCGGTCATTGTGTCCTTGGGCAAGACACTTCGCCTACTGGTGATGGCCAGAGGGGCCGATGGCGCGATATGGCAGCCTCGCTTCTGTCAGTCTGCCCCAGGGCAGCTGTAGCTGCCTCCACCAGTGTGTGAGAGTGAATGAATAGTAGAATTGTAAAGCGCTTTGAGGGTCCCGAAAAGCGCTCTATAAATGCAGTCCATTATTATTAAGGAGAAACCTGGCTACTTTTGATCCTTGCAAGTCCACTTTTATTTTCCCACTTCCACATAAAGTGAATCTTCTAAAGGTGAGGTTGCAGGCCTGAGGCCTGAGCTCAACAGCAGTAACACTGTTTCTCAGAGTGATGGGACAATCCACACTGTGCTATGAAGAAGCCCAAATGTAGAAAAACTGGCCTTTATTTAGTCTTTTTACATATGGCTTAAGCTTTTCTTTTGTTACAAACAGGTTTTACAAAAGGTTCTGAAGACTTCGGAATCACTCACTGGTGGAAAATCATGAGGAGGTTGATGACACTGCCGTGACACGTGTACGATCAGAGGCTCCCACGCGGCTGCGCTCCTAAGAGCAGTCACAGACAGTAAACACGGCAAGGAAACTGTTGTCTCGACACACTGCAGTACAACAACAGACAGGGGACAGACCAGATGGAGAGTGTGTCCATGAAGTGTTCAAAATTACATGGAAAAAAAAAAGTAAAATAAAAAATACAGTGCGGCTCATGAGTCCCTTTTCCATGGTCTCACAACGCTCACAGCTCATTTCATGTCACAAATGTTTACGTGCCGTCGAGCCCAAACCGCTGACACAAACATTTGATCTTCCTGCTCTTTTCACCGGTGCCACAGCTTACAAACATCAGAGCAATTTAAAAAAAAAAAAAAAAAAAAAAAAAAGGACAGCAAAGCGAAGGCCTAGTGTCGTGTAACCTGATGCAACCGTTTGCATTCTCTACACAGTAATTCTGCGTTCGATAGCCACCACGATAACACACTTCTAAACATGATCAGTAATTTCTACACGTCTAATTACTACAATACAGCTCCTTCAGTTATTGGATTCAGTGGAATTAGAAGACACAATCAGTATCAAATGCATACTTAAAAATCATCAACACTGCATTACATTAGATTGCACTGCATCTAGTTTCAGTTTTCAACGATGCGCCTGCTGACACGTGGATGTGTATAAAAGTTGTTTCGGTTTCCACACGTTTTCAAGGTAGAGTCCATCGAGAAGATCTTTGTTCAGAGTTCCTGCCACCAAAGGTGTTGCATAAACAGAGTATCAAGTCTCTTGCATACAGAGGCCTGCAGAGTGGACTCCGTCTCATGTCTCTCTCCTCGCCTTCTTCTTCTTTGCTGGTTTGGGCGCTTGGCTCTCCTCAGGTTTTTCTGTGGAAACACACAAAGGTAGGAACACCTTTAAACATCTCTTTCAATGAGCATAACCCCACATCTGTTTGATTCACTGGTGAGAAAAAGAGTTTGACTTCCACTGACAAAATTTTAACCCATCATTCCAAGAAAAAGATGGCGTGGGTAATAGAAATGAGCTGAGCACAGATTTAAAGAGCTTGATCAAAGCATACAGTATCAAGAGCAAATGATCCAAGTTGTTGCAGATTAAATTTCCTAAGATTATTAACAAGCTTAACCTTGAAACACACACTTCAGCATTGTCACATGAACGTGATACTTGAGTAACAAGTTTATAGAAAATGTGATTGTACTCATTTTTCAACGTTATAATTACTGGAGACACTGGACACCAATAGTTGTCCCAACTTCAGCAACGGATCTACTTGTTTTTTGTTTGTATAAAAAGTAACATAAAAAAAAAAGGTTTAGACAAAAGTAAAGGAGAAAAGCTTTAAGACCCACATCTGGATTTGGATACAGATTTGTTAGTGAAGGAGATTCAGTTTGCTTTATATTAATTTGCTTTACATTAATAGCACGCTGCCAAACTGCTCAGAACCTGAAATTGTAAATGCTTCAAAATATGCAGCTTATGTGCATCTGATACTCCAATACAAGTAAATCAGAGTTAACAACTAGACAACTGGGAAAGTCATATTTAGCTGCACCAAATGCCTCAGTACCAGCATGCACAAGGTTCTGGTGTCACATCTGACAGTGTTTAGCGCTTACTTTGTTGTGTCGGAGCAGGAAGGTTGTTCTGCTTGGCAGTTGGTTCTCCTTCATTTGGCTTCAGTGGCACTTGTGTGACAGGGGATTTCTGGGATATGTTGTCTTTCACTGGACGCTCTGCTCTCACCTGTTAGGAAAGGGAAAACAGCAAGTTAAGAGCGAAAAAGAAACAGCTGCAAGGCTACGGGTCAGAGAACAGAATAGCCGCGTTTTTCAAGATCATCTTTGATTCCTTCTTGCCCGTCAGCCCACTGACCTCGACAGCTGCTTTGACAGGCTGGACGGCAGCAGCGTTCTCCTGAACAGGTGGCTGCTTCTTCACCGAGGCTGCAGGTGCAGTTTCCTTCTCCGGCTCCTGAGCCAACAAACAAACAAGTGGAATTTAGACAAAAAAAAATATCCAGGAGAATGAACATCTCACCACTCTTTGTTTTACACCTTTTAAGGTTACTACACTCAGCGGTGCATTTGCTCACAAGCTGTTACCTGACCAGCTGTTCCTCCCTCCTCAGCAGCCTTCTTCTTTTTCTTTTTCTTCTTTTTAGTTTTAGCCGCTCCATCAGCAGTGGTCACTCCCTTATCCTTCTCATCGTCACCATCCTCCTGTGAACCCATGAGGATAAAACATGACTTAAAAACGCAGGAACAGACACTATATTAGAAATTCTAGAGCAAATGGGAATGCTTTGGTAATTCCTTACTTTTCCACTGTCTGTTGGCAGAAGCAAGGCACAGTAGCACATGACAACATGTCATCGCATCAACATTTAAGTAAACTGCTATTCACTGCAACATTTATTACACCTGTGTTTGTCATACTGTAGAAAAATGTCCGCTATGAGAAAGGCCTTTGAAGTCTATATGATCTGTACACATCCACATACTGGTTTCAAACAGCCGCCATAATATGATAAACTATGTTGTCTATTCAATCTACTGTGTTGAGCCACTGAGCTGCAGGGTCACAGTCAAAAGAAAGAACGAGGACAGCTCATTGAGTCTAAGCCCTGATGACTCATTAGTTAATGGGTTGTTATTTTTAAAACTTCTATAATGCTTATTTTTGTCCAGAGCTTGGCCACACTTACTGCCACTCCGATCAACAGATTAACCTTGGCTGGCTCAGGGAGGGGCTGCTCCTGTGCTGGAGGAGGCTCGAGGGTGGGCTCTTCATAGTTGCCCCATGCTTCAGAGGGGGCGTTCCAGTCAGAACTGGTGTCCACAGAACCACCGTCTGAGAGACAAAAAGGGTGTCACGAGACATAAACGTGAAGGAGTACCACAACAGAAATGACATCAAGCAACATCAAAATTAAACAGTGCGGTGAAAGAAAACCAGTAAATGGCACTTACTGAGTCCAGACCACTCATCATCTAGTCTGGGCTGACTGATCCACGGCAGGTCGTTCACAGGCTTGGGCTCTATGGAGACAACAATTACCGCGTTAATACAACCAAATCTGGGCAAGACAAACAGTGCCATCTAGTGGCAGGACTCAGTTTTGCTGCAGTGTATACTTACCAGCAGTACCAATTCCCAGACTCGGTAAAGACATCAGATTTACCTGGGTTGTTGGCATTCCCCTTTTACTCACAGTCCACGCCTCTGAAAGACACATTTCACAGAAGTTGTGTCATCACTGCTCAAAACATTGACCTTGGGGATTCTAAATTGTCTGAATGGGGCCTTTAAGCAGCTGTATATTTAAAGTAATAAAAAATAATAATTCAAGAGAATTTTACTGTCAAACTTTAGACAAAAACCTATCAAAAACAGATTTAACGCCGTCTGTGCGTAAATTTTTAAAAACATGTATAGCACTATCTTCTGTTAGTACAGAACGTGATGTCATGTTGTTGGTTGGTTGTTGCTAATAGACCTACATTAGCTTATGTTGGCTAACTAGTGACAAAATCGATAACTCAGGGGAAAATAAGGACTGGGTTCACTTTTGTGCTTTCCCTGGGAGCAACAATGAGTTTTATGTTACGAAACCAAGGATAT